ATATAAATAATGAATGATGTTGGCACCACACACTACCGGGACACAAAAAGGACAAGTGGGATGGACAAATGTAGGGGTCACCTCGAGTTAAATTATCAAGGAAACTGTCTTGGACTCTTAGTTACCCTGATAATTTAACTCGAGGTGACCCCTACACAGAACCACCTTAAAAGCCTTGATGATGCTTCACTGATCAAAATATCCCAAACAGCTGCTGTAATTTTATATAAAAKAATGTGATTTTTAGTCTGTATTAGATTGTAAAATTATCAAAGAGCGAATAAAACAATTTCCTGTGAAAATATATCTTTTTATCAAGTAGAATAACTTTTTTTTATGTAAGTACCATTTCAGGAAGGAAGACATCGCTCGCAGCTTTGTGTGTCAAAGATTTAAACAAAGTGTTGACTCTAAGCTACAACAACACCACATTTTATTTCAATATTCATCAACTGACTGGGTTATTTCCATTTGTGTTGGTCCATTAGCTGCAGCGGCCATCTTGTTTAAGGTTGACTCAGAGTTGCAGACGCACAGACGTCAAGAGATGGAAGACTTCACACTTTTCTAAAAAGTTCATTTTTGCTTCCTTGTCCTTTCAGAGCTGACTTTTTATGTTGCTTTTTATTCCATCTCCGAGACTGTGGTCCTCCAGCAGCAGGGACTCTTGAGTGCTGCTTAACGGCTGTGTCCGAATTCAGGATCTGCATCCTTCGAAGGACCCGGCCTACCCGGTCTACGTGGGCAGGTCCTTTGTCGAACGCAAAAACCAGAAGAAAGTGGCTGTGAATTTGAACCATCTATTTTTTATTGCAGCCTTACACGGCACATGTCCTGTCACCAGCAGTGGTGACGGTGCTAAACAGAAGATAGAAATCAGCAATATTTCAATATTTTCACTATAAATTAAAATTAGCTTAGAAGCAATACACAAACAACTAAGAGACCTGCCATACGTGCATGTTTATGATGATTTCTGACAATAATAACATTTAAAAAAAACTCCTACCACTTTGTCCGCCATTACAAGCAAAAAAGATTTTTCCAGAAAGCCCGCTATGCATTTTGGGGTRTGATGGGCTGAAGGATACACTAGACGCATTCTTAAAATCGAGGCAAAAAGAGGACGTATTTGTGGGTCAAAATCAGAGGAGCCTTTGAATTTGGGCAACTTTCAGCGCATCGCTGTGACGTAATCAGCCTTAAAATTGGACCTTCGAAGGACGCAGCCCCTGAATTTGCACACAGCCAACGTTTCAAACAGACAGAAGTGTTTCTTACCACAGCAGACAGACTAGGGACAAACTTGACCGAGTTCTGGATGTCCTCCTCTGTCACCTCCACCACAGAGCAGTGCTCCTCCTCCAAAGGCAGGGGGTCAGTGCCGCCCTTGGTCACCCACTGCTCCACCTGAACCAAAACAGTTTCCATCACATCGTGCACTACCAACACCTGAATATTAAAGAGAACCTTTCTGAAGAAATTTTGAAGGGTTACGATGCACRAATATTTATTTTTATGAACATGCTTCATGTAGTAGACAAGTTAAAAATACCCTTCACTTTTAATTTGAAGAAGAATTTTTGAGCTCAGAAACGATGGAGGTCAATGAGAGATTGGATGTGCGCTTTGTGGGGAGGTGAGAGAAAATTATAAATCCTATAGCAGTGAGAAAAACACTATGAATGTAAACTGTCCTAGCACTTTAAAACGTCCTCCTTATTGTAACTCCACAAGCCCCGCCCCCTTTCTGAGGTGTGTCTCAGATCAACTCGTTTTGAGGCTGTCTTTACATGCAAACGAGGCACTTCACACCCTGCCCACCCCTACATCTTCCAGAGCGGTCCCTTGTATTTTAATAGAGAGATTGTCAACAAGGGAAGACTTGTCCATCCAGCCTTACATGTTGGAGCCAGAGTCTGACCCAGAACCAGAGTCTGACCCAGAACCAGAGTCTGACCTAGAACCAGAGTCTGACCCAGAGCCAGAGTCTGACCCAGAACCAGAGTCTGACCCAGAACCAGCATCAGGAGAGACTAAATTCTAATTTTCTGGACTCCTTGAGAGACCCCAAGTTCACACACACACAAAAAAAGTATCTAACAGCTAAAAAAGTGGATTTTGCATGATGTTCCCTTTAATACTCTATCACTGATGAAGCTGCACATTTTCAGATAAATCTGGTGTTTGTTTGTTTTTTTGTTTTTTGTTTTTTGCCAAAGATACAGGACAAGTAGCAAAACAAAACTCGCAATGAAAACAGGAAAATAATGGCAGAATAACAATAAGGGGACTTCAATGCTTGTGAGTTGTAGTCAGAGTTAAAGTTAGTTTGCTTTCAGTGTTTGTGTGATCTGTGTTTTGTTTCAGGCTCCAAATTGTCTGCAGCTCCCAGTAATGATGTGGTTGTTTTACTGTTTCTGTCACTGGTTGCATCTTGATGCGACACAGACTTGTAAATATGAATGTTTTCTCCATCAGCCAGGTAGCTATTGGTTTTAATTCAGTTTCTGAAAGAAAATGTAAGAGATGAACTCTATTACAGTCAACAGGTTAAATGAGGAATTAAGTTCTTTGAAATGTAATAAAATACCCCGCATCTTGTCTACGTCGAGGGGCAGACATCAGTGGAGCTGATCTGTGGGGTGAAGCTCAGCAATCCTTCTGTTCCTGAGCTCATCTTAGAAAAACTATTTCAGAGGAAGGAAGTTGTGTTGTTTGGCACTGAATTGGCCCTCGTTTTATTCRGCCTCTTTTTACCGTCAGACTGTTYGCTGCGCCGCTGACCTCCCWCCTCCGAACACTATTTACACCTCCAGCATTTTTTTATTTCATCATTTATGCATGCTGGCTCTGACTGTGTTCTCCACAATACGTTTGTTTCCTGATCTTCTTCTGACACGCSTTTGTGTCTGGGCACAAGCGCACGYGTGACGTCTCATTATCTCTTCATCTCCGTGGTGAGAAAATGACTCAGTGACACATGATTGGATCGTGTCATGGAAACATGATGGGGAGCGGGGCATGTCATCTGTACATGGCTGGTTCCTAAGCCCACCCCTCTCATWATAGAGATGGACTCAGTTTCAGCCCACTCCTCCCAGAGGAACAAACAGGTTTCATCACGCCCTGCAGCAACACGGTGAGCTTAATGAACCCAACTRTAGAGATAGCAGTAAGGTCACGGTCTCATGAGCCAATCACATGGGAGAAAGGCAGAATATAACCCTGCTGATATGTCTTTCTGAGTGTTTTGTTCTGCATGTTGCAGCACCTTGATCTCAGGRATGGTAATCCTGGAGTCTGGGTTCTTATCCAGCATCCGTAAGATCAGAGTCCGCAGGTCTTCGCTGATGTCCGGTCTGCAGATAAAGCACAAAACAATCAAAACAAGCTGCTGGGAGACTCATTTGCACACAAAGACTGAGAGAATGACAACCATTCACATTATTTTGCTTTGCTTTCTGGTTTGATCCAATCATTAATAGTGCATTAGATGAGCAAAGTGAAGGCCCACGCTTCATTAATACAAAATGAAGGCATGCTTCATCAAACAGCTCTTACCAGCCTTGTTAGCACTTGAAAATAAGCACCCTGTCACAAATTACGTAARTTGTAAACCATTGAACCATACATTAAAGTGACTTTGACAGACCAATTAATTAAAGAGATTTTAGAAGTGCTCCAACAAGAAAAGACCAAGAACATTATATACAGTATTAAATAAATTCCAATAATTAGTTTGTTTTATTAGAGATTAAAAGAGCTTGAGTAAAAAAAAAAAGCTCTCAGACTGAAGGTTTACTTGTGGTTCCTCGAGTTTCTAAAAGTAGAACGGGAGGCAGAGCTTTCAGTTATCAAGCTCCTCTCTTGTGGAGAGAGGAGCTTGATACTTCTAGTTTCTGTCTGCGAGGCTGACATTCGGTCTACTTTAGACTAGACTGAAAGCTTTCCTTTTTCATAAATCCTAAAGTTAGTTTCCAGAGTTATTTCATATTTATGGTGCTATACTGCTAGAAGACAAACTGACCATGTTTTCTCACTTTGCTGCGGTCTTGTTTTTACYCTCTACTTTTTATGTTTGTATTTGCAATAATATCATTAACGTRTTTTCCTTTGTCTTTCTCCCCATAGAAACTAAATCTGAACCAGTCATACTGTGTTTACTAAGTAATAGTACCACTGAAAGACAAGTTTCTCATATTTAAAATATAAACTTAGTAGGTATCCTCTGCTTTCTCATTTAAAATAAACAAAAACAAAAGTAACCCTGAWTCACAGGCAGTAATTCCCATAAATAAATCAGATAGTCTTTGACAAATGTTATTCTTTAAGTGTAATATCCCACATTCATAATGTCAAATTTCATTTAGGGAAATGGATTTTCTTTTTGCCTTTTTWAAATTATTTTAAGAAAAGATTTACTCTTTTTACTGCCAATCATTTTTTCCCCTCTTTTGTTTTAATTAAAGGTTTTCACACTCGTTARAATGTCAGGTGTTTGTGATGTCAAAATGAAAACATAAATTTTTAAATGAGACACTTAGTGTATATTCAGTACAATTTAATGGAAAAGGCAAAAATACATTTTGTAACTTTTATTTTTATCATCCTTCTAGGAGGCGACCTATGATGGCCTAAGGTTTTCTATTGCTAGTGACCAACGTCGGCACAACTCCTACACTTGTCACGGCGGCACCKGGTATTACCGGACAGTCTCCCATCCAAGTACTAACCAGGCCTGACCCTGGTTAGCAGCTAAGAACAGACCAGGAGTCGGATTTATAAAACTGGCGTACGCTGAAAAATTTTTCAGCCTTTGTGGTGCACCCTCTGGTGGGGACACACAATTGAGGGCATGTTTGTAGGAGCATCACGTCCTTCTGTACATCGCTAAAAATGAGCCACTTTGCTCTCAGAGTAGAACCTGGTTGTTAAATTAGAAAGATGGACAGCTTTGAGGAGCAAATTCCTCATTTACRACACATTTCATACATAAACAAGAAAAAATTAAATTTATTTTGGTAGTACATTAGCAACAAGAATCAGTCAAAATTAACTGCMGTGTATAATACGACCCCCATTTATGAATGATTTTTGGGGTTACAGTTTTTGCATTATGTATGCTTAAATAAGGTATTTCCTAATCAGTTAAACCATGAAATAAGAATATCTGTAACAAAAGCAGCATTCTTTAGGACTTTTAATTCTCATCATAATGTCAGGAGTACAGAATATGGTTGCACAGGATGGAAATGTTACTGATGAAGAGAAGTCGCTGCTAATTGTTCTTGATTGCTGGATGTGGTTTCATTCCATTCTGTGTGGYAGGTTGGCAGCTGGTGATGTTGCATCTCCCTGCACAATAACGCTCTGTCCTGACCCGGTCCGCTGCCACCCCTTCTCCTTTTTCAGAGTTTATACTTTTACCAGTCTGTTCACACCATTCACACTCACCGCCTGACTTCGTTTGTCCTGACTTTTCAGCGGTAATCACCCAAGACGACCTTCTACGCTTTACTTAACCTTTTACTTGAAAGAAAGGTCCGGGAGGGTCGTATGTGTCCAGGCTGCTGCTGTTTTAATCACAGATGGGTGACATTTAACGCATGCTTGTACTAACTGCCTTTCATATTCCTATTGTTGCAATTTGTAAGGAGGGAAAAAAAGGAAAGGAGAAGAAAAAAGATTTTTTTGTGAGTGAAATGCAAATGAGATGATGATGTCAAAGACGACATTTCAGCTGCGGATAAGAGGAGGATGAAATGGCACRAACATCTTTTCTAGGAACTCACGTTTCTGGGAATTCCACAGGCTTAGTCTTTATCTTATTGTGCAAAGCCAGAATGTACTCATCGATAAACGGGCACTGCAGGGAGAGCAGAGGGAAACCACACAGAAGGTACAATGAATTATTACTGAATCAGACACAGTCCTTATCCCTACAGACAGACAGGACAAATTACAGCCGCAGTATTCAACCTCTTGTGTTTATTCCAATAAATGGATCAGAGACGATGAAGGTGGCAGACTTTGTTCCTACAGATGAGCCTCTGGCTGCAGTTAACAAGCAATGGACTGGAGCAGAGACTTCCACGTTTCCGTTTTTAGAACAGATACTGATAGATGAGCGAGAGACAGAAAAGGTGCAGACTTGCCTTCCCAAAGACGAAGCAGTAGAGGGTGATTCCCATGGCCCACACRTCCAACGCCTTGAAGAAAATGACAACAGAGACAATAAAAGCAAATTCAAGGATAAASTAAACACATACACCGAGTGAAGCTTATTATCAGAAACAGACAGCGCAGAGTTCATCAATGCAGGCTGCCCACAGCTGCGTGGAACTGAAGCTTATTTTTGGGAGCCGTCCTTGTCAAAAGCTCTGAAGATGGATTTGTGCAATCAGATAACAGACCCTGTTGTTACCCATCAGGCTCTTTTGTCCTCCAGTCAGTGTTTCTCTCCATCACTGGAAATCCATTTCTGTTACTTAATAGATAAAAGGTGATTAATCCAACCTTTCATATCTGTGCTACACACTTATTGCATACTTTTAGCGTGACAATTAAAGGGCTTTAAATGACATTTAAGAGTAGGAACTGATTTCACTTCCAATCTACATGCTCTTTGGAAGATGGCCTGACCGTAAACCCAAATCGGAAAGGACAGACTAATCAAAGAGAGAGGAAAACTAGGCTAGAAAGTATTTCTTAAAAGCTTGACAAACCAGCAGAGTGAGGCACTTAAGTGGCTCTTTTACCCCGGTGGCTTTTTGTCTGCAATCAAATGTTCTATTCTGGCTCCTCTAATGGTCATACAGAGTCCTTCTTTTAGCAAACACAGCAGTCTCAAACAGTGTGCAGCGTCCACATTAAAAGTTGGACAAAAGTGAGAAAAGTGTGTACGCGCAGAAATATTCAGCTTTATCAAACCGTGCACACGCGTGTTTTTGTGCTCCTTTCATTCATACATCCCAACAAATATGGAACTGGCACAGGTCTGCCCCCCAGGCATTTATCTGGCGTGTTTACATTTACAAGTGACAGAAATATAAAAAAGTTTATGGTTTCCAGAGGAGTGAGTTTGTTTGGATCATATTTTAGGTGTGTTCTATGTGGCTTAACGTGGTTCAGTGACAGACTAAATTCAACTTTTCTGCACTCCTAGAGACTCCAAGGACGCAACAAAATTCATTTAATGGCTTAAAAAGTGAATTTTACATGATGTGTCCTCTATTGTGATCGTCCAAGTTCAAATCAGAGAAAAGAATACTGAAAAGTACAAATCAGGGGATGGATTCAAAAGGATTTTCAAGATCCTAAACATCCCCAGGAGTACTGCCCGTGGTACATGCCCAGTTTGTGGTTACTTCCTGCCCTCTTTATAGCCTGACCCACACTACCAGGGRCTTTTAATTTACATAATAGGCTGTTCAAACAATTTGATTGGTTGTCTTCTTYCGAATGACACCTCTTTTGACCAACTGGGTTCATCTGTAGACTCTCCAGAGCACAAAATATGTGGCAAGCCCCTCATGTCCCACCTGTATGTGGTACATGTGATTGCTTGACTAGAATCGACCAATCAGCTCTGAGCTTTATTCTGACACMACAACTGTCTTCAAATCATGTTATCTTTTATTTGATATATTAAATGTTTGTAGTGTATTTAAACTTCAATAACTAAATACTAGTTACAGTTATAATTATATTATTATCTACGAAGAGCAGGTTGTCCTCACAAACTTGTTTTTGCTGATAGCACCAGATTTCAGGATTTCTCTATATTTTCCTGCATTCGGTTTACCCTCTATATACAGTAAGCCTTATAGGGCCGGCTGCCAAAAAGCGCTTGACCGTGGAGTCTTACGCGTGTCATTTGGCAAAATCTAGTAGTGATTTAATGTGAACTTTATTGAACAGGGGTTTTCCCTTTGCMACTCTCCCATAAAGCTCAGTCTGGTGAAGAGCTGTCAGTCTCTCTACCGTCACCTGCTGAAGCTTCCCTCTGAGTGGTCCCAGGTGTCTCAGATTTCTCTCACTGTTCTCCTTCTTGAACACTCAGTCAGTTTGTGAGAGGTGCCTACTCGTGATMGATTTATACGTCCCATATTCCCGCCATTTCTTCCTGATGGATTTAACAGAACCCCTGGGGATGKATAGGGTCTTGGAAATTCTTTCGTATCCATCCTCTGACTTGTCCTTTTCAATAATCTTTTCTCCGAGTTGAATTAGGAAAAGCGGATATTTATGCTATCATTTATTTTACATGATTATTTTTTACTAGACCCTCCTGTTGTGCTTGGGTCAAAACGATGAAGCCTCGACTCACTTTGACCTAAGCGCAACAGGAGGGTATAACTCTTAAAAATTGCTTTTCACTTTTTTTTGTTAAAAAATGGTCAATTTATATTGACTGAGTTATTTCTAACAGCAATATTTTATCTTTGTTATAATTTTTCAAACAAAAATAAAACCAAAATGTAAAGGTTTGTGAGATAAACTATGTCAACCCGTTTAATCCCGATGATCAAAGCAGGTTCTCTGGAGCGTCCAGGTGTGTGTAAACACAATGCCAAGAGRAAAAGACAGCAAAAATGACCTTAMAGAAGCAGCTGCTACTGCTTATTAATTTAGATGGGTAAAGGTCAATTCCAAATCATTTAGTTCATTGTTCCACAGTGAGGAACARCTACTGACAAGTGAAAAACATTTAAGACATCTGACATTTCTCTCGGGGGTGGATGTCCCAGAAAAATCACACCAAGGTCAGAGCAGCGCGCAGAGAAATTAGCAGGTTAGAGGTCAAAGTTCGTGAAAAAGATGGAAAGACTGAACGTGTGGCTTGTTCGGAAGAGCTGAAGGAGAAATGATCAGTTCTGTAAAAGGAACCTGGCAGCAAGATAAACGAAACACAAGACTTCAGGGACAATGTCCTGAGGAAGAGATGTTTAGTAAAAGTTCTCAACATATTTGGGGAAAACAGAACACGTCACGTCAGCTGTCAGCACCGAGGTGGAGCATTGTTTGAGCCCATTTTAAAGCTACAGGACCTGGGCACCTTGGAGTCACTGAGTCAACCATATAATCTGTAGAGCAAAGGACTCTAGAGTCAAACGTGAGGCCATCTGTCAGACAGCTGAAGCTTGGACCAGGATGCCAAACACAGCAGTAACTCTACAACAGAACAACTGAAGCAAAAATGAGAAGGTTGCAATGATCCATTCAAAGTCCAGATCTCARTCTTAAAGGGGACATATGCAAAATACCCTTTTTTTAGCCGTTAAATACATTTTGTTGTGTATTTGGAGTCTCTAGCAGTGCAGAAAAKTTTCATTTAGTCTCTCCCGGTACTGCGTAGATATCTTTATATTCTGTTTGGGTCGTATTTTTCAATCTGTTCAATTTTCTCTACTCCTTATTTTGAACAAAAACATGACAGAATTTGTTGCGGAGCTGCAAAATAAGGTCATGGATGGTTCTATAGGTTCGTCATCTTCATTCTCCTCCGGGTCAGATTCTGGCTCCAACGTGTAAGGCTGGATGGACAAGTCTTTCCTTGTTGACATCTTCAAAAATTTAATCAACCTGTAAAAAAATCGGGGTATGAAGTGCCTCATTTACACTTAAAGAGACAGCACCAAAACGAGTTGCTCTCGGAGGCACCTCAGAAAGAGGGGCTTGTGGAGCTACAATAACTAGGAATTACAACCAAAGCATTGCAGTTCCACTTCATATCGACCCCAACTGAAGGATTTAAATGTGAAAAAGAAGGATTTAAAAGCATGATATGTCTACTTTAATTAATGTAGTGAGACAATATGAGAGCTGTGCAGAAATAAATAACTGCAAAGCTCATTAAACTGAAAGAACTCAGTAATGAGAGTGTGGGCCAAAGTTCCTCAACARCCATGTGAGAACATAAAAATAATTACGAAGAGTTATTGCTTCTAAAAGAGGTTTTACAAAGTTGTCATGGGTTAAACTGAGTTTTTTCACACACAACTTTTACATTTTGCTTTTTAGGAGTTTAATAAATAATGGCATGGTGTGTCTCAAGCACAATGCTAATAAAACACAAATGCTGCAAGCTGTAAACATCCTCCATATTGGCTTCAAAAATCAAAAACAGAACAAAGATTCACCCAAAAAACAAACRACCCTGCACGCTGCGTTCTCACCTTTCCGCTGAAGCTCTTGCGTTTCTCTGATAACGTCTCTGGAGCCATGAAGGCAGGAGTGCCTGCAGTGCTGGACAGTAAAGCATCGTTGCCCTCGAACTGGTTGCTGACTCCAAAATCAGCGATCTTCACATGACCGTCATCACCGAGCAACAGGTTAGACGGTTTGATGTCACGGTGGACAATCTTCTGGTAGTGCACTAAAGAAACGAAGAGACATGTTGACAGATTTCCCCACTGATTACAACTAAAATGATCCAAACAGCTTCCTGATCAGGTTTTCCTACGTTTGGTAAAATCCTTGCTGCACCTTCAAGGGTGCAGAAARCCTAAATTGCTCCTATAATGAAACAGATTGATCCCCTGGGAAAGTTTGAAATGAGCTGATTTCATGGGAACCTGCTAGAGGAAATAGAGTTTCTTATTAATTTTTCTTGCTCCACATATTTCAGAGGGCTGTCTCACATGGAAACTGGGACATTTATTATTGAGAGCTTTAATGCGGGACTTTCCACCGCAGCAGCTGAGACTTTATTTTCATCAGTGTACAATAAATAACACTGTAAAAGTCTWTAACTGTCCAAATAAAATCCATCTGTCTTAGTTTAAGACTGTATCGCTCAACCTGCAAAAGCAAGCTGTAAAAATAGTTTTAAAGATAAGAGATAGGTGCAAAATCAAACTCAAAACAGAAACTTGTAATTACATCCTGAAGGAAATCATCAGGTTTGAATGAATTTTTCAGGTTTGGCTGAATAAAAACAGAACAGCAGCCCTGTGGCTCTGAGCCTGAACATTTCAARACTTCTTATTGAAATTTATGGCACTTGACTTCTTGGCTGTTGGTATTGTACAGCTAATAACACTCAAATTAAAATGAAGTGAACAAAAATAAAATAAAAAGATTTTGCATCAATGTAGCTCATACAAGATATTCAAGGAAATTGTTTCCTTAATTTAAAAATTAATTATAGTTTATGAGGAGAAAATCAAGAGGTAGTGTTTACTGAGCTGTTAGGGTGACCACAAATCTTTATTATTTAAATGATAATGAGGTGATTTAAAAGAAGGTTAAACAGTCAAGTGTTCTTTGAAGGAATTATATTCAGCAGAGGTAAAGACACATGTTGGTTTTTCTATCCTCGTCTGGACTTTGTKTTGACTTCCATTCATTTACTGGTCATTTCTATAGCCTAACCCTGACCCCTTACCCTAAACCATAACCTCCATTCACACCTTGGTGTAAAGTAACTAAGTACAAATACTTCTTTACTGTACTTAAGTAGAATTTTTGGGTATCTGTACTTTACTTGAGTAATTATTTTTCAGCCTACTTTTTACTTCTACTTCTTACATTTTCACACAATTATCTGTACTTTCTACTCACTACATTTTTTAAAAAGGCACAAAATAGAAAGTTGTTATTTTATTTCATTTTGAAATTATTAAGAACTATTATATTTCATTTGCATTATTGCCGCAGCCCTCAGATGGATTTTCATTTTGGAGAAAAGGTTTGAGCAGCCTTGATATAAACTGAAACAGCCTGGACTAGTACATCCTAAATTTAACATCAATTAATTATTTTAATACAATACAGTCATTTCTGCATTGTTTTAGGGAGGTCACCTCCTAATAAATGTCATTACAGAAAATCTAACTACTGCTCATTTTAATTCAATACTTTTACTTTTAATACTTAAGTACAAAAAGTATCAGATACTTTAAGACTTTTACTCAAGTAATATTCCTAAAGAAGACTAACTTTTACCAAAGTAATTTTTTGTTAAGATACTTGTACTTTTACTCATCACTTTGTGGTACTTTATACAACACTGCYCTGACCACCTCTGATGGTTTTTCCCTCGAYGGGGACTGGGCTTTTGTCCCCACAAGGCTGTGTTTGGAAAAATCGTGTTCTGTGCAATTAATTCTCAGAAAACTGTCAACAATTAATTTTTGCCACCTTGCAATAACTGCAATTAATGCCATGTGATGATGCATATTTTTGTGTGTGATCCACCATCACTATCAGGCGTGCAWGTAAGCCCAGTGTTGGAAAGCAGCAAAGAGTAGCTAATGCTAACCCTAACCTTATGAACTTGTTTAACCACCTGAAACACTGGCACATTCCAGAGTACAAGGAAAGCCAGAGAAGGTGGATCAAGCAATATTAACAAAGTATAGCTAATAAAGTGGCCACTGAGTGTATACACGTGTGTACAGGTAAAAGCATTACTGTCTACTTTCCCTTTTGGCAGCAGTAAGTAACCTTCTGGCTAATTTTGGCACATTTACAACAATGTGTATTGATGTGCAACAATCTTGTTAACTAAATGACACTAAACAGCAAAAAAAAATTGTTTAATAAAAATAGATGTTAAAATAKGCATGGACACATAAATCCAAATATATTTTGCCATGTCTCATTAACATTTCATTTAGGCTTTAGAGTCATTTACCAGGTATAAATACTTACAGTACTCTATACCGAGGATGATGTCTCTGAAGTATAAACGTCCCTGTTCCTCTGTAAAATGATTGTCTGTGGGCACCTCCATCACTGGACTACAGATTCAAGCACACAGCAATAGGAAGAAAAAAACATTTATAAAAGGATTTAATTTCAGGAGAACCCAAAWACAGATTAAACATGAACACTTTGGGACAAACATTTTCTGTTAAAGTTATACATTGTCCCGCCCTCTGAACTGCGGCATCCCTACAAGCCCTCCTGCTTCCTCAGATCAGTCGACAGGCTGCTCGTTTTTTTAAAATAAATCAATAAATTTGACTAATGCAAACCTTTAAACATGTTTGTGTTTGAATAATGGTGAAGCTAATTGGGATGTTCCGGCAGCAGCTGAACAGCTGATGTTCTGCGTGTTGCTCTGCTGACAGCTGATGCTGTTAMCGTGATTATTAGCATATCCAGTGGGTGACTGATCACAAGTGGTCAGACACACTAAGGCACCATTCAACACCAGACGTCAGCACATGTGTTAGTCCACTTGTCATGACATGGATCCCCTCCAAACTGTTTGATGACATCAACTCTGATTGGTAGCTTTATTACCAAAATCAACATTCAATCACCGTCCACCCCGAGGCTGCAGGATGGTGAACAGAACACATCCTCACACTAGTTCAGATGTTAACTTATTGAGTTTCTTACCACCTCCACAAGGCCCAACCATCAAAACAAATGGTCTCAGAAAAACAAATCATCAAATGGTAAGAGTGTAGGAAGGAACAGCTCAAGCACCAAGACCTGAAGCACTTCCATGGCTCAGTAATAACTGTGAAAAGCTAAGAACGTTACATTTCCCTTTGAAGCCCAAGCTGGAACAAACACTGGCATCGCTTTAGTTTGGAGAAGGCTTGAGTTCAGAACGAAAGGAGAGAGAATAAATGAGAAGGACAGGGGAGAGGAAACAGAAGAAATGAGGTCTAATGTGCTAAAAATAAAAGGACACGCTTACTCACCCTTTACGCATCAGTTCAAACACTGTCAAAAATGGACAAACACACAAAAAAAGACAGAATATTTTACTCATTAGTTCAATGTGACCACTGCTGCCGGGGAGGTTCACGCTAGTTATGAGCTTCGAGTTAGTCATCATCTAAAGCAGCAGATGACCTCATAAAACTATGACCTCACTAATGTGTGAGGCCTGAGGTAGTGTGGAGGAAAGCAAAACACAATCTGACTTCTGAATAAGTTAAACATTTGTTCCATAAACATATGTTAGGTGCCACAGGCAGAGAGAAAGGAAACTTTAAAAATGTGGACAAAAAAAGAGCATACCCATGTAAAGGTTGTCCTCTGACGGATCGTCAAGCACCTGAAACATAAAAAAAACACGAATTAATAATCTGTCAGAGTTATTTCATTGTTTGCCTCACATCAACAACAGATTTCAAAATAAGATTCTGAAACAGTAAATACAGCTACCTGTAGCTCCTGGGTCAAAATGACCTGGAAGGCTACAGAACTGAGGCATTTTGGGTAATTTGGATCCAAGAGCAGCAGGAAGGTTAAATATAGTTGGATAAACAAAGAACTCGACACTCTGACATTTACATCAACAAACTGATCAAAATGCAGTCAAAAAGAAGGTTACAGGAAAGCACCCTATGGGTACTCACATGGTTGTAATGTGAAAAGGGGGAATTGAAGAAATTTATTGGGGTTTGCTTATATTAAACATCCTCGCCATATTAAACCATCACTATCTTATTTTTTCTTATTTTTTATCTTATTAATAAAATAAGGTGCCCTGTATAAGACTAACTGTCAAGTAGCATTGTTAGAACAACTAATTTCCTTACTTTTTTCTAAGTATTTATACAGTATATTGTAATAAAACTTTAATTTTGAAAACCATTCTTATCTTAAATGTCACTCTTCACACATTTATAACATTGTTCTGGTCCACACCTCTCTTAATGGCTTGTTTCATTTGTGAAAGCTGATGTTTCTGCGGGATGTGGCTGGCTCCATTGGTGATTTGTGAATGGCTCAGAGGCAGGATAAGAACTAAATGACCTTTGGAGCCATTTAGCAGAAGTGTTTTGTAAAAAAATAAAAATAAAAGCCTTTTGGCTCTCTTCCATTAAGGCACATTAGGTAATGATGACAGTGAAGCATTGTATCAGAACCTTTCCTAAGTGGAATGCAGCTATTATTAATACCGGACGTTGTTACAGTCGTGACTTATTAAAATGTCTGCTGCAAAAAATACAGTGTGTTTAACGTGTAGAATGAGCTGCAGGTCTGACTGGAGGGATGCTGTGCTCTCCACTCCAGCTCTCTGAGACAAGAACCTTTGTCTTTTTGGTGCAGGAGTAGGCTTGTGTGTGCAGGAGGRTTTTGTCCAGCTGTAGGCTGGGCTGCAATCAAGTCCTTCCTAATCCTTTGCCAACTGCAATTCTCACGAATATAAAYTCGATTTGGGCTCTTAGTCACACTGTAGTCACTCTCCTGTTTTATCAGCGAACTGTTTAAGCCATGTTGATTATGGGATCCACTGCCTCTGCCTTCAATGCTCCGAGCTTCTCCTCAGGGGCTCGGTTAAGCTGGCTGTTTGTGAATTTCCTCCCTGCCTGGCTCTCATCAGCTTCTCYTCAGTCCTCCGTCTCAGCCACAGTCTGACAGCAGCTAACCAGCTGTAAATAAACAGCTAACCGGCTCCTCAGCCTCTGTTCTGTGCTGCCACTCGGGAGCATTCGTTGTTTGTGACAGAAGGCGAATACAGGGAAGGCGTAGGAGAAATCTGCCAAAACAGACGCCAGCTGCTTGAAGTCTATGACCCACGGAAGTCGCCAGACTGTCACTGAATGTGAAGAGTTTTCCAGAAAACATGGATTCATTTTGTTGAGCTAAAATGGCAGAAACTCACAGGGCATTTCTCCCCAATATACAGWAAATATAAAGTAACTTTAACAACACAAATCTTAAACTTTTTCACTTTTTAGATATGACTCAAGAATCTCTACTTATTTCTGTGAGGTTTTCAATTTTTTATAACCTTAAAAACAAGCAAAATATCAGACTGYTTTTCAAAAAGCAATGTTTTTTCGTTTGTCATTTCAATTTTTATTGTCAAATGCAATATGGTAAATGGTGGATTACACACAGTTATTGTCAGAGAGCTGCAAAATAATTCTAAATTTGCCATTTTTTGATGTTTTCGTTTTTATTAGAAATTATTTAAAAAGACACCAAAGAAATTTTTTAATGATCGATGAAATGTTTTAATATATTCACACAATATCAACACAAAATCATTTGTAATGACCATTCCTGGGTGGAATGCATGTCAACCACAATAAACCTAACCCACATGTTTAACTATACTAAAAACAAACCTAAAGACCTTTTCTTGACATAGTTAATTAAAAAAAAAACACTGACCGGCTTCACTGCTCTGCACCTTCAAGGTGACTGCTGACAGCTTTCACAACGTGCAGAACGTGATTCACCTGAAGCGTGCATTTAAACCCAACATCCTGGTGATTGTAAATAAAAACGCTGAAGGCTGGMCTCAGTCAAGGACACGCAGAACGGGAACAASTAGTCCTGGAAATCCCCTCTGAGGCAGCAGGAACACAGTCTTCACTCMGGTCATGGCTCGAGCCAATGTTTGCTGACAGCCTTGTACAGATCACTTAAATAAACAGTTGTATTTGCATTACACACTAGTCTTTTCTCTAGAGTCTTTGTAACAGGAAGAACAGCTAAAACAACATTTGCTGCTGTTTTCAAAGTGCATTCCATTAGTCGGTTGCTCTAAGCTTCTGATTACTGCAGACGGAGATGTAATGAAAGCATWTCTGGACTTTCAGGATAATGACATACACTATAACTAAAGCTCAGGGTTCTAATGACAGTGACTCTCCAAAGAGTCAGTGCTCACTGGTGAGAATGAGGCCAACTCGTCTTTTCCCGACCATCTGTGACAAATGACCAAACCRCTTTCATCAGTTTTAATTTGTTCCATGTGGTGCGAGCTTAGTGTTTAAAAAACGAGAGGGAAAAAGATCTTTTTGTAATTAGACCGACTGATCGGCAGTCTCCTGGGAACCTCTAATGAATGAAATCCTGACCCAGSCACAGTTCTTTTAAATGGATGTGAGAGATGGAGAGGAGGTGAGCGGTGATTTCCTGTGCCCACATGTGCCAATTAGAAGTGTGCGACTGAAAGAAGGACAAAAATAAAAAAAAAAGGCAAAAGATGAGAGCAAGTGGGTTTGTGTGTCTTCTCTGCTGAATCGAGCACACACAAGGGCAGAAGTACTTCACKTTTTTCTTGAAAACTCTGCTTTTTCTGGCACCCATGTTAGCCAAGCAAGCCAGACTGCTTTCCTAGAGCTGAACTCCCAACCGTGATTTCAGTGCACCCGCCATCTGGCCTGGTTTGAAAACACTGATGATATCACAAGGGAGCAATGTGCAATTTGAGTCACATCTTTGAAATGGGCTATCTTCTTTCCTAAACAAATGCCTCCGCACAAACTGGAAGTCTATCAATCTCGAAAGCAGAGCTGACCCTAATAAAAGAGTTTATTTAAGAGGTGAAACCGTTTTATTTGTACTCTTTACTTACTGCTCAAAAAATAACCACCACATCATCATCAGTATAACTGAGCATTGGAAGGTATAGGCYATTCTAACATATTGTGTACCAATTCCCAAGCAGCACAGGCTTTAGCTGCCATTTTGGTCTGATATAAAGTGAGCCAAGGCACACGGAGATAAAGGTTAGCTGATGACAGAATGATGAAGGATAATCCTGAGCACAAAGGGAGTTCAACCTGCTGTCTGTGTCCACATACCGGTACTAGAGACAAAATAAAAAAGTCTTTAAAAGTCTTTAAATGTTAAAACAACACTTTTACTTGTAGCTGTGAGACATCCTATAAAAAGTACAACGCTGTCATTTATCAGACAAATATACTCAAAGACCTGTTTGTATTTTCTGTGCATGCTTGCAATGCAATGAGCAATAAGTGATGGACTCCGTCATTTTCCACATCAATCCAAACACACAGCTTAAGGAGGACCAGGAGTTTCCTTTGAACAATTATTAATCAACCTCTAACATTTTTCCTCATTTAAACAGATTTACAGCGTCCATTTAAAAATAATGGGCTAAACAWGTAAGCTAACATAAGCTAGCCTGTTCAGCGTTATGTTGTCCATTTGTTCAAAAAGTAAACGTATCAGAGCTGTATGTTATGGGAAAATAACTGGTCTGCTCATTTTACTTCAGATAATTCAAAACAAACATAATTTTGCTGAGACACTAAATGTGAACTAAAAGTGTGATATAGAAGCTACCTGCATTTATTTTTTTATTATTTTTGATGTGTTTGTTAGCAGTGAATCATTTGCGACAAAGCACGTTTTAGTATTTTAGAGTAGTAATATAAAAAAATGAAACTTTATTGTATAATTATCTTTTAAAAACAGCAGGTCACACAAGGAGATTAAACTTTATTTTAAGACTTCCCAGTTTTCTGCTGCAAGCTTAATCAAAAGCTGTCTGTTGTTAACATTTTTGAAAGTTTATCAAAAAAACCCTCACAGAACATCGATGTTTCTTTGTTAAATAAATTTTAAAAAAATGTGATTTGTATGTAAAACCAGTCAGTGGTCATATGTGGTCCCTCGGCGCAGTTTTAGACCATTTTAGTGATGACAACAAGCAGAACATAAAGAAAGMCGTACCTCCACCAGTCGCACAATGTTGACATGGTCCAGTTTTTTAAGGATGGCTATTTCTTGGTAAACTCGTTCCAAAGGTCCAAGCACTTTAGGCTGCTCTCCTTGAGCTGCTTTTGGTCCTCTTGGAGGAGGGCGACCTGCAGAACGAAAGCAAGTAAATAATCTAGAAATGCATCAAAAATAACGGATCCTCCCTTTACCGTTGCATCGTTGCTCAAATTTGGTTTTGCGGTTTTATGAAGTAAATGAAAGACATTTTGAAGCTAACTGTAAGTCCGTATAGAATATTTCGCACTCAATTAGTTTTCTTGTGATTTTTGTTCACAAAAACATAAGTTTTAGTCAGGGACCTAGAGGTGCTGTCACATTTTTTGGATGTTAATTGTTGCATGTCTGTAAAATTACACAATAACATCCAGGCTGAGTTTAATAAAATGTAGTAAAATTGAGCTTGAGGACATTATTGAGCCATTAAAAGTTGTGAATTACTTAGATCCAATGTTTAAAACAAGTCTTGGAGAAAATTATCTTTGTCGATATTTACTTGTCGATTACACTTTTCTTCTCCGTTTTTTAAAGGAATACAAAAAGTAAATAAAGACTTACGCGGAAAACCACACTGCTTCAATAGCCTCTTCTTTGATAACACCTTCATGGCCTAGGAAAGGAAAAACAAACACACACTGAACAAAAGAGCAAACTTTGCAAGCATTTACAGAGATGAGAACACAAAAAATGTGAAMATTTAACTATTAAGGCTACGTCTAMTAAGCACTGAAACCCAAACGYACAAAAGACAAAAATCTAAGAATGATAAGGTCCTGTGTATTTCACTATCTGTTTGTGTWCCTGTTTTTTTCTGGTATAATCACTCACCGTGTCAGAACCTGTAGTTCTTATGGGAAACAAAAGTCACTTCTAATGTAGTGGAATCATGTCATTTCCTGTTAGGGGTTAGGCTTATGGTTAAGGTGTGAACTGAATTAAGAAATACACTATGCTGCAACTGCTGGACAATAATTGGCAACTCATAATTGGGAAGAAATTTAGAAAAAATTAGCAAATTTTCAGTTGCAGACTCACTAAATCCTGGGTGTTTGTGACCACTGAGTTATTTATTTTATTAATAWCTGAAATTACAGTTTGTTTATTTCAGCAGACCAGCTCCTGTATATTGACACATCATGTCATTATTCACTCCATGACAAGAGGTTAATGTTTTTTTTCAACCTATGTTGAGAAATGATGTCTCAGTAAAACTACCATTAATGTTTAAACAGGAATATTTTTATTAATATTCACAATCAGCAGGTGTCTGAACATTAAATGCATTGAATGCATTTTAAGTTTTAGTTTAACTGCAGCTTCTTGATTATGAGTTTAAAAAAACTTCCTCCTGTTCTTTATGAACCACAGGAGAGACGCCCTCCTGCTGTAAAAAGGAACTAAACTTATACTCAGTCAATTTTAATGACGTATTTGTACTTTTACTTGAATAGATTTTTACAAGTATGTATTTTTTAGTATTGTTTTCCTCTCTGCATGTGTGTCACAGCAAAATAATTGTTAAAATAACGTCTTTTTTAAATAAGAAAATGGATCTAAAAACCTCCCATTCACACCTTGTTCTATTGGCTGTCTGTGATTTTGCTGTTCATGAATTAATGGAAAGGCTGGAATGTGTTCCTCAACACAGAACGTGTTGCTGATGTTCGGCTCGGTGGTTTCTGTTGTCGCCATGGCTATGACTGTGCAGAAACCAGGTTTGGTGAGAAGCAGATCCTCTTCATTACATAGTTTCTATGGTGTGCTGCCTCTGTTTATCATGCCTATACTCATTAAAATAAATAGCCTTTGTTAAAAGAGCTGGATTCTTCCTGCAGAGGTAGCTGAAGGTGTATCCTCACAGTCAGTAAACACTTCAAAATTAAAACCAATTCTTCAGTAAACCACAGCTAGAAAACAAACACTAAATAAAACATAATCTGTCCTCGGGTCCAGGTTGTTTTGACGAGTTAATGTGGTTTTGATCAAAGGAACATGCAGGAGGACGATGTACTGCGAAGGGTTAATCCTGTTAWTGCCTCGCCGAGCCTCGAAGCGTTCACTCAGGTCTCCATCACTCTCATCTCTAAACTAACAAGGTTTTACAAAAAAAAAACCACTCCTGTGCAGCACCTTTCTTTTTCAAAGCAAAGAAATCATAAAAACAGTAAAACTAAAGAATAAAGAACGCATGATGTAACCTGTACTGAAGTTATTCAGACACGAAAAGAAAACTTTTAACGAAGGCGTTGTTTGTTTAGATACTAACAGAATCTGATCTGGAAACTAAAACTGAGTGGATCAGTGGAACAGGTGATAATTAATCTGTCTCTTATTTTTTTAATATTTGTGTTATCCTGATCACTTCTGCCCTGGTGTGTAATAGATCATCCCGAGTTTGGAAAACAAAATTTTACAGTAAATATTTGACAGGACCCAGTAAAACACCTACACAGAAATCAAAGACATTACATAATGTGAACATGTCTCCAACAATGACAGAACACGGGTTTCAATCAAACTACTGTGTGTATGGAAGTGGAGTTATTTTACTTTTAAATATTGAAAAAAGTGCCAGTAATATACGCTATTCACAAACAGTTTGGTGAAGTTCTATTGATTAGTTAGGCATCGTCATCATGATTTCAAAATGTGAACAGTGTGATTAGATTAGGAGGACTGTTTGAAAAATAAAATCTACTTTATTTTCCAGACTACAAGTTACACGTTCTTTATACAGTAGTTTGGCTGTTCCTGCGATTTATAGTCCAGTGCGACTTAAATATATTGTTTTCCCCTTCGTGACACATGCTATGACTGATGCGACTTGCAGTCTGGAAAATAAGGTAAACGAACCAGGAAATTTGGCTGAATCATGGATCAAACCAGAAAGTACTGAAACATTGAAAGCTAAAGGTTGGTTTACACTTCGAGTTGTTTCCCCCGCTGAGTGACAAAAATTGCAAAAGTCCGTCTGCTCTCCCACTACTATCCCCCTATGTCAGTCATCGTGTGCATTGCCCCCCCACCCGTCCGAACTCTGTGACGAGGTCCTTGCACCTCGGAGCGTGTGATTGGTTAGAACTTTGTCGGTGTGTTTATTCACGAGGAGCAATGCAGTCTCACACACTACTGAAGTATAACCCAGACTTAAGTAGTGTAAAGAGGTTTATATGCCACAGGCATCACATTGACCATAGTCACAGAGTCCCATCACCATGTTGTGGTGGTTGAGCAGGTTATGATAAGTTAGAACTCCAACAAGTGTACTTAAAAGTTTTTCTTGTCAGTGTGTTCAGAGGGATCTGTCTGCAGTGGCCCACAATCTGTCCAGGAAGCTAACATTTGTGACCATTCTAAACAGTCTCTCAGTCTGTCAGTCTCTCTCTCTCTCAAAATAATTATAGAAAACAGAGAAAATGAGAGCAGTTTGAAGTCAAACACACAAGAAGGTGATTAAAAATCTGAAGAAAGATAAAGCTCCAAAGTTTGCTTGTTATGCAAGTCAGACTTCAGGCTGATTCCTTTACTGCCAACCAAAAAATGCAACACTGTCGTCTGTCTGATATCCTAAAAAGGAAATGCATTTTAAAAAGGACAGCGCTTCACCAGCGTGGGAACTGATGGACTGATGCCGAGTGCTTGAGCATTGTTACCAGGACAGGCTGCATATTTTACTTTGAGCCAATCCATAATCTTTGTATTAATATTACAATATACACAACAGCGTTTATCCTTACTAACGCAGTGCAGGTTGGCAGTGCACCAAGTGCAGCATGTCTACTAAGATTAAAATCACTGACTACTTAAATGTTCATGCCATGCTCCTTTCTGAAGGAAGTAAAGGTCTCAGGCCACCAAACTACAACAAAAGTAAAGATTAATTTATGTTTAAAAATATCAAAATATACAATGATCTTTTAAATCTTAAAAGAACATATCCATTAAAAAACTCTCAAGTCGTAATTTAACAAAAAACATTACATTGCTCTTTCTAATTGACTTACACTGGAGGCTGTCCCAATTAATGGACTTCTTCTCATGCGGCCAACAAAAGTGACCCATAAATCCCCAAAAAGAAGGCTGCATCTGACCATCCTTCCCAGGACTCATTAAGTTGTCAGTAAACTAAACAGAAAAATGAAAACGGATGAGTTTTTGTTTTTTTAACCAACTCAGTGTTGTAAGGAAATTCATTACGAACTAAAGAATTTGTTTTCAAATGCAAGTTTTGCAACTCAGCTGATGAAATTTATGCTGCAATGAGATGTTAAATAAAATACAACAAGTACGAGAGCTAAACCCACATTATTAATGTTTTTTATTTATTTATTTATTTATTTATTTATTTACGTACGTGTAACGTTTTAACTGTGAAGTTATGTCTCCCTTAATAAGACGTAAATACATATCACTCTAGGGGTGCAACGATGCAGAAAATTCACGATTCGGTTCGGTTTGATACTTTAGTCTCAAGGTTCTATTTTTTTATACAAAAAAAGACAAATGTCCATGTCCTTCTTAACTTGTAAGTTATTGACACTAATTATGAACATTTGTTTAACCACAAGTGTACGGTTTTTAAATTTAATGTTGCTGAAACAGCAAGTTTCTCAGTGAATCTGTGCTCAACGATGCAGCCTAGGTGGAGTAGTCGAACACAGATCCACTGATCCTTCAACACAGTGCATCTTCAGAAGACAAGCTGATAAAATAAATTGTAAATATCCGTATTGTTCGATACAAGTGCGTATAATGCATTRCAAGTCTGAAGGCAAGTGATATAAACTGATCACTATAGCAATGATGTAGTGTGTCGTCACGCAAACATACATCAATGCAAAGACTAGGCTGTCTCATTTCACAGCAGTTTTATGCAGCCTACACTAACTGTGAAGGGTGTGGCCTACGTGGGCTACAGTCTAGGTACAGCAGGCTACACACCTTCCTGTTGGAAGCAAGGAGTGAACAAAATTAGCAAGTATTCAAATGTTTGCAAGAGTTCTCAATGTCCTCGAATGTCAYGGAGCCGCCTTCACGTATTCACRGATATTCTCGCAATTTTGTCTTTAACTAGTCCCCAGATGTCTCTGCCCCGTGAGATACTGACTCAACCCCTCAGTTTCTCTCTACAGTAAGATGAGCTGTTAATGATATGTATTCCACAATCCGAGTGTCAATATCCCACTAAAAACTGGTGGAACAGGAAGGGATAATTAACTGAAAGCCARCAAAACCAATAACCCTTTGGTGTTTTTTATGGATGGTAATGAATTTCAATCTGTTCATCTGTTTAGTGAAGCAGATGCATTCAGAGAAAGCTACACAATCACTGACTCACGACTTAAGATCACATCTTTTCCTTTTCAGTAAAGCGTAAATATTTTTGATGTGTTTTAATTTGCATGTCGTGCGTGAAAAAAGAAAATGAGAAATGGATTGGTATTTAAGTGGAAAAGCTAAAGAGTTCAKTGTTTTCATAGAGCTGGATTTATGGTGGATTTTTTTAAAAAGAAGACTTCTGGCATTTTTATACATTTCATTTTTCACATTTAATGCAGATATTCAGAAYCCTCTGAGGTGCGAAGTGCAAACTGACTGGGATCAAACAGAGATGACATTAAAAAAAGAACAATATATTGAAGTGATTATCATAAGTGCTGAACCATCATGCCAACTGTGCCTGTGTTTGTTTCAGATGTGTAAAAGCTCTACATTTCCTAGTAAAATACACTAGAATACCCTAAACATGTGCATTACTTTTAAACTTCGTCATTTGCTTTGTGCTTATATAACCACTTTTTTGTTTACAGTTCTGATCCARTTCATGTATTAGTTTTCATTTCCATATTAAATTGTGTTTGTCTCTAAGCTCCRACTGGCACCAGAACAGAAGTGCATCTTAAACCCATCCAGAGTTGGCAGCTTATGTCAGCATGACTCATGCAAACACTTTTGTTACYAAAGCTACAGGCAGCTTAGTCATGTTAAGGCACCAAACTGCTTACATCTGAAGGTTGCAGAGTTTCTAAGGAACTAAATCTCCTTGGTGGGAAACACCTTAAAATGACCTTGGAAGCTCCAGATGCTCCATTTGAAAGTGACCTCAAAGCATCCGATTGCACTAAGCAACAACCGCATTGCTTTGAGGGAAGATAAGGAGGATGAACTTTAAAAGACATAGAATACAGTAYACAATCCTATTGTCAAGTTTCTTCCCAGGTAGGTGATTCCAAGGGKATAAAACTCACTGCTAGGCAGGAGAAGGGAGTAAAAAAGAAAAATCAATAGCACTCGTCTCCTGTCTAGACAATACAGGGTGAGATCYTCAATAAAGCCTCTAACGGCCCGTCTGACCAAGAGGAATTTCAACAGAAAGTTAAGATGTGAAGCGACAGCAGACTTACATAGTGTTTGTCGTCATCTTCATTGTAGGCCAGCTTGACCACGCCGTAGGAGCCCTGCAAAATAAGGAAACAAAAAAAAACCCTTCACAAGCATTAAAGGCAGCATTCGATACTAAATGCTTTGGTTCAGCTCCACGTTAAAAGCAAGTTCCAGAACGCGCAGATCTGCTGAGAGAMAATCCTCAAAGCATCCTTTCTGACAACAGATGGTGGCATCAAAATTACAGAATGTGTTCAAGGCAGCACAGTTTCCATTCAAGAACATTCTTTTTCTTTGGCAGCAGAGAACGGCTCATTCCCCGGGACGCGCTCACAGCTTTCTGACATGTTTTCCTCTCTGGTAAATAAAAGAAAATAAGTTCCCAGAACTGAAGAGAGGGAGAGATTACAAACGACCAAACAAGTTAAAGATTTATTAGGTACAGACGTTTTGAAACATAAAGAGGACTTTTTTTTTCCTGAGGTTACTGTGTCAGGTTAAAGTTCTCTATAGATCACAAAAAATATTGGCTAAAGAAAACTATATTTTATGCATTATTTTYCTGTTAAAAGGTTTAATAATGTAAGTGTTGGAGTCTTTAGCATAAATAATGTTTTTTGTTTGTTTATAGATTCTACTTTTTGTGTATGGGAAACACTGCTAATGTTCTGCATCAAATCGGTGAGGCCTTCATAGCTGTAGGTTTTATTTTAAGAGTAAATCACACAGGTGAGTTCTATTTACTAGTTAGATGATTTCTGAAGTCAATTAATTGCTCTGGATTTTAGTCAGAATCATATTATGGGGAATTGAATRCATAGAGGCTACTCTCTTTAGTTTTATTTGTAACAAAAAAAATGTTGAAAAACATGTCATTTTCCTTCCACTTCACAACGAGGCTACTTTTTTAAGTTTATCACACAAAGTTTCATCAGTAGCTACACTGGCTACCTTATTGTTTTTGTACAGTTTTTCCCCCCAGTGATCTTTGGTCAACTGTAGCACAGCAACGGCTGCACCGATCAAAATGAAATTTGGCAGCAATGCAGATGAGTCCGACCTAAACTGTGCCAGCCAATGGTTTTAAGATAGACCCCATATTTGAGGAGGGGGCTCCACCTGAAAAGGGGGTGTCTGGATATACAAAAATGCCTATAACTAAAAAACTATTCTACATAGCAGCTTCAGATTTTTTTTTAGCTCTGATGAAGGGCTATTCATCGGGCCCACCAATGAGCTCACCCCCCCCTACATGTGGGGGTTATACATGCTACCGCTATACTGTATCTAGTTTTAATAAGTTTTCTATTTTAGCTACACAATTGTATAGATGAAATAACTAACATCAGCCTTGCTGTTGAGTCTATCCGTGCAACACACTTGATAAAATCTTGATGTATCGCAGCTATTTTGGCTTCAGAAATTGAACACTGCATGATTCCAAAATAAAAGTACTCCCTCTTGTTGTGCCTGTGACTCATCCAACCATGTTCTGTATGTGGGCTGGAAGGTTTAGCCAGTAAAAAAAAAAAACATTCAGCAGAACATTTCTTTTTTAAAACCATTTGAAATGTATCAGAGGCAAAATGAGAGGAAATGAAGAAACTCACCTTTCCAATTTCACTCTTCAGCTTATACTGGTTCAACTGGATACAATCCTGGAGGAGGAGAAAAGATGGACAACTAAGTATTGGTTCTACCACGCTTACCAGTAGAGCTGGTGTTTTAAACATCTAAACCAAACAGATACAGAGATGAGAATGTTCCAGCTGAGTGTGTGTGCTTTCACGTGACCTGAAAGTCATTTATTTCTGAGGTGTAGGTAACGATGCAGTGCGTAGTTTCTGTTTACTGACTGAAAATCCATTAGCGTGCTGCAGCTTCAGTGGCTGATTTGCAGTTCCATAGCAACCGAGGGTACAGCGACGAGTCCGCCGGGGGCTTAGCAGTGAAGAGCAGACCACAGTGGGATACAGAGAGCGGGAGGGAAGAGAGGTGAGGTGAGAGTTTGGGTGGTGGGGAGCATTTCTCAGAGTTGAAGACTGTGGCGTAACGAGCTGAAAGTGAGCAGAGGTTTATGAGTGTGAAGATGGAGGGGATGGGACTGCAGAGAGAGGAGGCTGACAGCAGCTCTCTGGTTACAGCTGGGGGTGGTGATGGCCTGAGGCCTGACGCTGCAGTGTGCTTACTGGATGACACCACAGAYGTAATTACAAGCTTAACGTGCATTGAAGAAATGCATATCGCCTGCCGYCTCTCAATGAAATGAAGGGGTTGTAATGTTGTGAATGACTCTCAGCTACAATCACACCAAATTTTATCTCCATATTTGTAAAATGGCTGATTAGTAGGGGTGTAAGAAAATATTGATACACAGAAATATCGTGATATTTTATTTCCCGATACTGTATCGATATTCTAAAGCCCTGTATCGATTTTTTATTAAGGTTTAAAATGTCAACTTTCCTGCCAGCCRTTCATTTTTATGTTGTAGTTCAGCCTCTGACCACTAGTTGGCAGCAGTGAGCCAGCCATTTGGCTCCTCTACCTCTTGAGGTAGAGGCTATTGTTAAGTGTTGGGTGACCATATTGTAAATTAATATTAAAAACTAAAAGCTGCAAATATATATTTTCAAACTATTTATTGGCAAATTTAGTCTAATTGAAAACATGGATGAAATAAGAAATGTGAAACAAATAAAATAAAATACATACAAAGCAGAACACAGCTAAATGTATCAAAAGTATGTCTATGTAATATTAGAATTTTCTGAGACAATGAATTTTGGTTATTCATATTTTTTTCTCAGTAAGAGGTTTTTAATTAATAGAATTTTTGGACAAAAAAATCGCAATATATCACAATATATCGCCTTGCTTACAGTATAGGTCTGCCACAAACGATGATTTTTATAATCGATTAATCACCGATTATTTTTTCAATTAGTCGACTAATAGGATCATACGTTAATTGAATATAAAACATACCAGCTTATCGCGCCAGAATGCAGCTGCTATTATATAACCATTAGATTTTAGCTATATGCTAACAAAAAAATAATTGCTGTGGAAGACAAGTTCTGCTCTGCAAATATTGCACAGGTTTCTCTTTCATTTTCTTAAAACGATCCCACAATTTGAGCTCTGTTGTCAGGTAGCCATGATACCAGAGCCTGTCTGTATAATGTCTTGTGATGTCCACGGCCTACCCCAGTTACCACTACTGTGCATGTGTGTCAAGGACAGAAAGGCAGATGTGGCAGTGGAAGGTGTCAAAGCAGTTTGGAGAGAAAAACAAAGAAAAGAACAACAACAAAAAAATAAAACGATCGATTATTAAATTAGTCATAGATTATTTTAATAATCGATTAGTCGTCAATTAATCKATTAATCGTGGCAGCCCTATTACAGCATCGCAATATATCGGGATATATCTTATCGTGACCCCTCTGTCATGATATGTATCGTATCGCCAAATTCTTGYCAATACACAGCCCTACTGATTAGATGAGGTGGCCATCTTGAATYGGTTTGACTCCCAAAATTAATCATTGAAGATGTAGCCAGTAATTATTCTGTCAGGGCTTCATTAAAGTCATTTCAGTGGTTCATGAGCTATTTTAATAAAAGCCAATTAGAGCTGACTCAGTTAATGCATTAGTCCTGGTTCCAATCGATACTCAAAACTCGATGCCCAACCCTAACTGAGACTACACTATAAAATGTTTGATTTTATAGAAAATAGGCAACACCGGCAGGTAATGGCCTGGTAGTTTGGATACAACTGCCAAGATGTGAGGACTTGACGCACGATAGGCTGAGATTAAAGAAAAAATAAATAAATAAAAAAGGACAAAAAATAGGAGATGAGAGGCTTTGGAAGGCATTTGAGGCTTTGAATATAAAAGCAAATGTAGAACTTCCATAAAAGGAAAGAGCTGCAGGAGGGACAGTCTKAGAGGACTTCCACTGGTTTCACAGTTTGAAGGCATTCGCTCAGTCGAGCCAGCACAGCAGTCAGTCATGAAGACGTCCACACAGTCTTCAATGCATTTKTCACAAGCATGCCTCACCCAAAAATCAAACTCAAATACTTCACAGAAACACAGCGCATCTTTAAGGATTTTTTTCCCTTCTCCAACCTTCATGTAAGACAATATACATTAACAATGGAGCTCCAGTTTTCTCCCAGCATGTGGCTCTCCAGCCTCTTATCTTCCTTCTCCCCTCAAACTCTCCATCTCCCACTGCTAACCATGCATATCAAACACACGACTCCTGGTTTATAAAACAGTGTTTAGGCTTTTTGATAATTAATGAGCTTACACGCCAGAAGAGAATATGGTTAAAAAATAAAACTTAAAGAAATAAATCTCATTGTTTTAATTTGAAATCAAAATCAGAATTTCACAAAATAAAACGACCCACTTGCAATGGAAAATAGTTCAAGAGTGTAAACAATGCTGCTCCTCCCAACCTCTTTGGAAAAATCAATCAAAAAAATACATAAAAAATGTATAGATCAATCAGGAATAATGTACAATGACTTTTTCAGCCGGCAAATTTATCAGTACCGATTTCCTTAATTTTGGGAGATCGGAGATCCAATGCTATAATAAGATCGGTTTCTCATCTTCCTCCACAAAAGGTCTGAAAATCAGCCACTGTTCCCTTTAGCTCTGTTGTGAGCACTACCTAATGCCCTAGTTTGTATTGTTTCAAGGGTATTGTTCAATGTTTTTCAGTTAAATAAGATTGGAACATTGAAGGTGTATTGTGAGCTTATAACACCTGACAGTGTCAGGTATTTATAAAAATAGGTATCGGCAGGTCAGATGTTTTAAAGATTGCAGTTTTCTGGCCGATCACCAATTGGTGCACCCAAATCTTCCAACGACTTTCCTTTTAATGTGACCCTTAAAAAAGGAAGCAGTCAAAAGGTAATAAAAACAAAGTGTAAAAAGTCACATTAATATTAATCTGTCTTAAATTAGACATTTTATCAGCTTACACTTAATTAAGGTACCAAATTTCTATTGGACCTTATAGAAGAAATGGTAAGAAATGATTGAATTTCTTTAGCATTTTGGTGCCCTTTTAAATTTCCATAGAAAGGTTTGAGTTTTCTGCTTCTTATGCTCTTACGTAACTAAATACACATTTGTTAAAATCTCTCTAGTGCATGGGTCTTCAGTTTTTTTCTGTCCGGAAGCCCAAACCGATGGACAGATGGAGCAAGGACCCTCTATGTATATTTACATTGTGTGTTGCAAAGATTACAGCATTAATAAGCCAACTACGGTTTGTGTGCAGAATTTATGGAGGGTCAGGTTGTGAGTGAAGCAGAATTCAGCTGGTGTTCTCACTGAATTTGTGCATTTCTGATTAAAATACATTGTTTTATGCCTCCATTTATAAATTCACTACATGATGGATTCATAGTAACGTATGAAAGACATAACTTTGAAGAAAAAAAACTCTGCAGTACTTCTGCCACCCCACTAAGGGTCAAGACCTCTGCTCTAGAGCTTGTTTAAAGAAGTGATGTGCTGTTATTAATCAGGTCTTTGGCTAGGCATTGGCCTAGCCTAGATAAGGGACTGCTGCCTCTTTTCTCCAAACTCAATGGGCCTCATGCAAGAACATGTTTGTATTCTTATCCTAAATTTCTCTTACTTTTGTTCATACGAAGGGTACGAACATGTCACGTCAGATTCAACAAACTCTTCTATCTTC